TTTGCAGAACCGGGGATTGAACTCAGTCCCTTGCGCTTGTCAGGGAAGCACTTATTCTACTGAGCCATTTCCCAGGCCCCCCCACTAGTTTGTATGCATCAAAAGAACCCCCTGGGGCAGGAGAGGAAAATTAAGATAGGTATAAAGGAGAGAGCAAAAAAATCGTAATTTTAAAATTGTATTTTTAATAAAAACTATAGGTTCATCAGGATTCAATTGTAAATTTGGCATTTCTGAGTATGTATTTGCAGTTATATTTGCAGCTATATTTTTGGGTCTTTTTGTTGTTCTTCATGCTACATTAAAACACATTCAGGTAGGATTGGGAGGAGATTTAGAGGATTAGGGTATGTGTCCCATATCCTAGGGAATAGCTTAAATCTTTATGAGCACATGGCCAGCCCTTTGTCCATAGTTGGACATTGCTGGTCCTATGTTCAATATAACATCTACCTGGCTGATGTTGCAATTTTTTTTTTTTTTAATCTATTGGTTCTTTTCTGCTCATTTCCAAGTGTATTTACTTGGTGGATGGGAAGCAATGTGTTTCATACCTCTATTTGTTCATGACCAAGAGTCTGATACCCTACAGAAAGAAAGGAATGGCCTAACATCTGGAGAGTCTCAGGATCGTAGATGGAGGAGGAACAGCCACAGCTTAAAAGCCATTCCTTGTTCCATCCCCAGTTCTGCCAAAAAAACCAAAACCCAAACAAAACAAAAAAGCCATACTGCACTTCTATTGGTTAATGCTAATGTACACTTTATTGTTTTTAAAATAGTTTATTAGAATCCATTTACCTTGCTACATTAGTTTTAGTAGATTTTTAGTTTAGTTTTTTTCTTTTGCTTTTTTGCCTATGTGTATAATAAATAATACTTCGTTATCAATTTCCAGTCATGTGTCCTTGAGTTTGCATTAGCAAGACATTAAAAACATAAATGGTGGATAGCAGATATTTCATTCTTTTTTTTTTCTTAATTCTCAGGATCATATATTTTGTAACATTTGCAGTTTCTTACAGTATTTATTGTCAAATTCTGTCCAGAAGTTTCCTTCCCTTCCTGTTTTTACAAGAAGCAGTGTAGTGATTAGTAGCACAGTTTGTGGTCAGCATCCAGGTTCAAGTTCTTGCCCTGCCACTTTCTTACACATGTGACCCAGGACAAATTACTTAGCTTCCTGTGTCTTGATTCTTCCACGTACAAAGTGCAGCTACCTCTCTGTGTTGTGAAGATTTATAGAAATTACTTAAAACAGTGATTGAGGCATGGTAGATACTGTCAAGGTTATTAGACTTATGATTTTTTTATTTTAAATTAGAAAAAGTTGCTAAGTTCTGCGAAGCAAATTGTAATTTTTTTGTAATTCGTTGTATTGATAAATTTCTTTCTTTCTTCCTTTTTTTTTTTTTTGCAGAACCGGGGATTGAACTCAGGCCCTTGTACTTGCCAGGGAAGTGCATATTCCACTGAGCCATCTCCCCAGCCTGATAAATTTCTAGATAATTGCATTTTTCTCATACTCCTCAAATAAATTATATTTGTTCATTAAAAAATCGACATGTTAGAACAGAAACCCAGTCAAAAAATTCCTAAGACTCTTAAAGACACAATAAACCTGGCCCAGTCCATTTTACCTGTAAATAGACCTTTTCCACATGTGAATAAAATGTCCTTTTTCACCTGTGTAAGTGGCCTCTTTCTATGATGGGCTCCAGCTGTATCGCCTTAGGTGATGACTCTCACCCAAGGTATGAAAAGGCTGTCGTCCTTCTTCCCATGAAGAAAGAGCTGTCACTTTTTATCTGTAAATTGAATTCTCTTCTTTTTTTTTTTTTTTA